TCCTTCCTTCCTTCCCTCCTTCCTTCCTTCCTTCCCTCCTTCCTTCCTTCCTTCCCTCCTTCCTTCCTTCCTTCCCTCCTTCCTTCCTTCCTTCCTTCCCTCCTGTCATATCTAAGAGTTAGATGTGGTTTTTTTTTTTTTTGAGACAAAGTCTTGCTCTGTCGCCCAGGCTGGAGGGCTAGAGTGCAATGGTGTGATCTTGGCTCACTGCAACCTCTGCCTCCTGGGTTCAAGCAATTCTCCTGCCTCAGCCTCCCAAGTAGCTGGGATTATAGGCGATTCTCCTGCCTCAACCTACCAAGTAGCTAGGATTACAGGTGTGCACCATGACACCTGGCTAATTTTTGTAATTTTAGTAGGGACAGGGTTTCACCAAGTTGGCCAGGCTGGTCTCGAACTCCTCACCTCAAGTTATTTGCCCGTCTCAGCCTCCCAAGTGCTAGGATTACAAGTGTGAGCCACCACACCTGGCTGATTTAAGGTATTTTTACTGGAACCAGCCAGTGGGTTCTTTTCGCCCACTGCACAGTCAAAAGAAATTTACTGAGACCACGGCATTGCAATAAGAGTTTAACTGATACAAGTCTGAGAGATGAAGTTATTACTCAAATCAGTCTCCCCGAAAATTTGGAGGGTAGAGTTTTTCAAGGATAGCTTGGTGGGCCATGGATTCAGCTTCTGGATGGGGCCATAGGACCGGTTGGTGGAGGTTGGCTAGTCCTGGTGGAGCCACTGGTCATCAGAAATGCAAAAACTAAAAAAAATGCCTCAAAAGGTCAATCTTAGGTTCTATAATAGTGATATTATCTGTGGGAGTAATTAGGGAGTTCCAAATCTTGTGACCTCTGGAATGATGGCCAGAAATCTTTTAGTCTACACATTAGCAGATTTCAGGCTCCTCATATCCTCCTAACCTGGAAGCCTCTCAGCTTTACAAAGGTGGTTGAGTTTTGCAGAAGGCATTACAAGCTTGTCCAACCCACGGCCCATGAGCTGCATGCGGCCCAGGATGGTTTTGAATGCGGCCCAATACAAATTTGTAAAGTCTCTTAAAGCATTATGAGACTTATGTGAATTTTTTTTGTGACCTTTTTTTTTTTTTTTTTTTTTTAGCACATCAGCTATCTTTAGTGTTAATATGTTTTATATGTGGCCCAAGACAGTTCTTCCAATGTGGCCCAGGAAAGCCAAAAGATTGGACACCCATGGTCTATTATTATTTAAACTATAAAATAAGTCTCTCAAAGTTTGCTTGGCCTAGCCCCAGCAATGATTAAGGGCAGTTTGGAGGTTAAAGGCAGGATGGGGGGTTGGTTAGATCAGATCTCTTTCACTATCATACTTTTCTCACTGTTATAATTTTTGTAAAAGCAGTTTCATTATTAAGAAGTAACCTCTGACACTCTACTCAGAGGATCTGTTAGTTGTTATTAACTTTCATTATCATTGTCATATTTAGCTCTACGTGACTAGAACCTGCTAATGGAATGACAGCTGTCTTACTGGGTCTGAAAGATAAAGAAGGGAACAACACCCACGTTTTTCTACTGTCTACTGTCACTTGACACAACACTTCCGACACCACATGTGATCCCAGGCCCCAGGCTGTTTCCCCACATAGCAGGCAGTTCTGCAGTGGACACCAGCTGGGTGTCCCCTAGGTCAATTCCCTTCTGACACCGTCTACCTGGAGTTACCGTCGGCTCCCACAGGTTGGGGCTTAGTCCCACAAGACTGCCCCGACTTGAGATGCCAGTCACAAGTAGGATGTCACCTATACATCTGACGGATGGGCCACAAATTGGGGGTTCCCACGACCCCCTCCTGAAGATTGATTAATTTGCTAGAGTGAGTCCCAAGACCCAGGGAAACTGAGTTTCTTTCCCCTATTTGTTATAAAGGACATACAGAGGATAAAGATGAACAGCCAGATGGAAGAGATGCATAGGGCAAGGGATGTGGGAAGGTCCACGGACCTTTCGTGCCCTCTCTGGACTCACTGCCATCCGGGAACCACCAAGTGTTCAGCTGTCTGGAAGCCGTCCGAACCCACCCAGTCCTTTGGATGTCGTTGTTGTTTTTCAGAGACAGGGTCTTGCTGTGTCTCCCAGGCTGGAATACAGTGGTGCGATCTTGGCTCACTGCAGCCCCAACCTCCTGGCCTCAAGTGATCCTCCTCAGCCACCCATAGTGCTGGGATCACAGGAGCGAGCCACCACACCTGGCCACAGTGGGACTGATCATCATTGGCCCTTGGTGAACAACTGAACCTTCAGGTTCTCTCCCCTCCCAGGAGTTTGGAGGTTGGAGATGAAAGTCCCAGCCCTCTAATCCTGCCTGGTTTTCTGGTGAGCAGCCCACATCCAGACGCTACCTAAGGGCTGTTAGCCAACAGTCATCTCATTAATATGTATAAGACTTTTGATCACTTCAGGGGCTATTCCAAGGGTTGCAGGAGCTTTTTGCCAGGAGACAGGACAAAAACCAAATATATATTTCACAATATCAAACCAGGTGACATCACTTCCAATAAAAATGACTCCGGATTGGTAAACAAACTGCATCTGGACTGGGAGGACTGAGTAAACTGACGAGCTGGTAGGAAGCCATGGAGTGGGGTTTTCTTTTTCTTCTTTGTTTTTTGAGAAAGAATCTCGCTCTTCTTGCCCAGGCTGGAGTGGAATGGCACAATCTTGGCTCACGGGAACCTCTGCCTCCTGGGCTCGAGCGATTCTTCTGCCTCAGCCTCCCGAATAGCTGGGATTACAGGCATGCGCTACCATGCCTGGCTGATTCTGTATTTTTAGTAGAGACGGGGTTTCACCATATTGGTCAGGCTGGTCTTGAACTCCCAAACCCAGGTGATCTGCCCGCCTTGGCCTCCCAAAGTGCTGGCATTACATGTGTGAGTCACCGCGCCCGGCCAGATTGGGGTTTTCTGAGTCCATTGTCACTCAGTGATACGTAACTGGGCACATCTTTTGCTAGGACCCTGGAAGCCATGTTACTGGGACCATTACAAGAGATATTGGTCTATGGAACAGGTTTGGGCTTCCAAGCAATGTCATCCTAGCACTCGGCAGTGTGGTTTTGTTCCCGGGCACCGGAGCTATCACGAGGGAGGGGCAGATTGGGCTAATAGCTCCTGGATTGCTCTGAGAAGCCCTCCTGCTGGAGAAACCTGGCTGTCACCGCCCTCTGGCACGCTGCCTTTCCTGTCTCCTCTCCTTCCACACAGCTGGGTAAACTGGTGTCCACTGTGGCCGGTTTGGGCCTTATGGGTGCAACAAGTGGCTTGAATTGAAGGCCACCAAAGTGAGAGCATGACAGGATGGGATCCGGAGCAGAAACGGGGGGTACTGGTCTTTGCGAGGAATTGGAGCACTTGCAGAAGTGAGTTTTTGTTTGGTGGTGACAAGGCCAAGCACACACCCTTCCCCTTTTGCCTTGGTCAGCTGCCCAGGCCACAGACCTCTGGCTTCCTGTTCTTTGTCTCATGATTGATGAATGAAGGTTAGAATGGTTTGTCATGATTGGTTAGCTATGTTTAGAACTGTTTGTTGTAGCTCTGTGTCTCCTGCGAAGCCTGGTCTGACAGCCCCAAGCAGAATTGACTTCCTCCTCTGTGGGCCACCCGGACCCTGTCCTACATCGGTCCCTGTCCCTGTGAGGCAGGCTTCCTCCCTTCCTCCGTTTCGTCTGTGAGTGTCTAAGTGTCACTTTTCTCCCTCTACTAAACCGAAGCTCCTTGAGTTCAAGATGTATCTTTTTGTATTAATCTTTACTTCACAGGACTTACCAGCCTGGCCTCTATTCAGTAAACATGGGTTGAAGGAATGAATTTCCAGGGTAAGATATTTCTCATACCCTATATGTTTCTCCTATAAAGTTCAAAATGATTTTAGTCATGTAGATACTCTATGTAATATACGGTGCCGAACTGACTAGTGACTGTCATAAGAGCGATTACATGAGAAAGGCCGACGTGGGTGCGGGAGCCAGACTGCGTGGATTCGAATCCCTCATTCCTCGCCGTGTGACCTGAGCTAGTTACTTAGGCTCCGTGCACCTCGCGCTCTTCATCTGTCAAGTTTCTCCTAGGGTGGCGGCGAGGATCGAAATCTTTAGTACGTGTGAGGACTTCAGAGAGCACAGAGTAAGCCCTCCGTGTGCGTGAGGTGCCATGTCCCAGTGCCCCAGGCTGGTCCCGGGGTGCTAAAGAGGAATGTGCCGTTACAGGAATCATTGACCTTCAAGGATGTGTTCGTGGACTTCACCCTCGAGGAGTGGCAGCAACTGGACTCTGCCCAGAAGAACCTCTACAGGGACGTCATGCTTGAGAACTACAGCCACCTGGTGTCCGTGGGTGAGGGACCGCGTCACAGTGTGATGCAGAATGCCCCCAGTACTGTCTTTCTTTCTCAGCTGCTCCAAGCTCCGGGGCCTGGGAACAATGAGTGTGGGTTACAAGCCTCAGTGGGTTTGGGTTACAGCCCACTGTGTCGTATTCGTAGTCCCGTTTGGACGCCGGACAGCATATTGGTGCCATTGCTTGCTTTGTGACTGTTCTGTACTGAGGGGCAGATAAGCTGGATGCATGGGGCCGTCACCGAGGCCGTGCCACCTTCAGCCTGCAGGGATGGGCCTAGGTTCTGGAATTCCTCAGCTTTAATAACGAAGTCCTGTGTCATTTCCCCTGAACAGGGTATCTGCTTGCCAAGCCAGATATGATCTTCAGGTTGGGACCAGGAGAAGAGTCCTGGAGGGCAGATGGAGGGACCCCGGTGCGCACCTGTGCAGGTGAGGACAGGCCAGGTGAGTCAGGCCCGGGAAAGGGGACCAGGTTGGTTCGTGAGAGCTTGGCTTCTGGGATGCGCTCAGGAGCCCTTCTCAGAGCCCCGGACTTGTGGACACGCCTAGACTGATGAACGGAGGTATTGTCATGTGCACATGAGGCCTCTGCCTGGCAGCCAGTTACAGTCTCTGTGTTCTTTGCTTGGCGTTCACATAGGTTGTGGCCACTCTTGTTCTGAGATCCCATTTCTACCTTCCAGCCTCCTGGCTTGCTGGTGAGAAGTGCCAAGCCCCTTCTCATTCCTCTCCCACCACCTTTATGGAAGTGTTTAAGACTTATTCTCCTACCTTCTTGGCCTTTTGTATTTTCACCATAGTAGATGTATTAATAGATGTCAGCATTTCCTCTTTACTGGGCATACTGTGGGCCCTTTCAGGCTGAAAACGTAGAGTCTTTTTTTTTTTTTTAGCCTCAAGGAAGTTATCATACATGATATTTTGGAGTTGGTATAGGCAACAAAGCTTTGCTGGTGACCTTCACTCTACCCAGCCTGGTACCCACCATGTTCCTGCCTGCTCTCACTTTGTAGTTAACACTGTAAACCTCACACCGTTTTCTATTTTCCCTTCGTATTCCTTCTCAGATCCTTACAAATCTGACTTGATACCACCTGTTTTCAGATTCCTCCTCTTTTCAGTAACTTCCTCCCACTCTACTCTTATTTTTTGTATTATCTATTTATTCAAAAATAAACTTGAGAGAACATCATTCCCATGGTGGAATACTTCATAAAACACTGCTAAGCTGTTTTCCAATGTGGCTACACCACTTTTTCTTCCACCAGCCATGTATGAGAATGCCACGTGTTTCTGATCCTTGCCAGCACTTGCTATTTTTAGTGTTAGTCTTTTTTTCTAGCGGGTGTGTAGGGGGATCTCATTGTGATTTAATCGTGCATTTCTCTATTCATGAATATTATTGAGCCCTTAATTGCCATCTTTACATCTTCTCTAGGAAGTATTTGTTGTAATCTTTTGCCATTTTTCTTTGCTATTAAATTGTAAGGAGACACACACACACACACACACACACACACTTTTTTTTAAATTTTGAGATGGAGTCCTGCTCTGCTGTCCAGACTGGAGTGCAGTGGTGCGATCTTGGCCCACTGCAACCTTCACCTCCCAGGTTCAAACGATTCTCCTGCCTCAGCCTCCCGAGTAGCTGGAATTGCAAATGCATGCCATCATGACCACCTAACTTTTGTATTTTTACTAGAGATGGGGTTTCACTGTGTTGGCCAGGCTGGTCTCGAACTGACCTCAAGTGATCCACCTTCCTCAGCCTCCCAGAGTGTTGGGATTGCAGGCGTGAGCCACCACGCCTGGCTGGTTCTTTATATATTCTTGATGCAAGTCTTTTAAGTACGTGCTCCCAGGTCGTGGCTTCTTTTTTTCTTAACTGTGCTTTGTAGAATAGATGTTTTTTATTTTGATAAGGCCCAGTTTATCGAGTTCTTTTATGGTTCATGCTTTTTGTATCCTATCTAACAAATCTCTGACTCAGAGAATGGAGATTTTTCTCCTGTGTCTTCTTTTAGAAGATTTATAATTTTAGCTCTTAATTTTAGACCTATGAGAAAGAATGAGTTAAGTTTGTAAATCTGACATGAGGTGAGGGTCAGGGTTTCTTTTTTCCATTCCACAATCACATCGTTTATTCTTATTTTCAAGGTAGTATTAAGTGTCCATATTTCTTAAACCACATTCAAGGAAATCATGTCTTAACTATTTTGGATGTTTCCTCTCCTTATCTTGTACATGAAACTCCAGCAGATTTAATACTCACATCCATCATCTAGTCAAACCTCTTACATGTTCTTCAAACCAATCAAATTTGGGCTTCTCAACATTTTCTGTGTCAATAAAAGGTGTGGAATTAGTAGATTGGATGAAGACCTGTATTTTCTTGCCACATTGGACTTCAGACGCCATTTGGATTCGGTTTAGAAGATGGGGAAGTACGGATGTTTCTTGGCCTGAGTCTCTTAACAGTAGAGATGTAGAAGAGAAAGTGAGACCACGAAGAGACTGGCTGTTGACTGCAGGGCACCATCAGCTACCTTGATGGTGGCATTAGCCGGATTTGGGGCAGCCAAAGTACTCTGGGAGGAGTTACTTGAAACTGTTACAACAGCTGTTTGATTGGAATAAATTTGTGTGGGTAGGAGCAGTGCCAGCAGCAGCAGCCCCAGCCTGAGCCTGGCCACCATTGCTCTGCCCTTGTCCCCTCCGTCGGTGTGCGGCGTGTCTCGCTGGATGCTGGGTGCTTGGAGAACCGCTGGCTCCGGGCAGGCACAGACAAGGTTGAGGGTCAGGGTTTTTTTCACATGTATATCCAATTTTTTTCAGCAGCATTTTTGAAAATACTCTTTTTTTTTGTTGACTTACTTTGCCATTGTTGCTGATAACTTTTGAATGGCCGGGCACAGTGGCTCACACTTGTAATCCCAGCACTTCAGGAGGCTCAGGTGGGAGGATCAGTCGAGCCTAGGAGCTTGAGACTAGCCTAGGCAACATAGTGAACCCCTGTCTCTACAAAATATTTTTAAAATTTGCCAAGCATGATGGCATGCACTTGTAATCCCCGCTACTTGGGAGGTTGAGGCGGGAGGATTGCTTGAGCATGAGAGGATGTGGCTGCAGTGAGCCATAATCACGCCAGTGCCACTCCAGCCTGGGTGACAGAAGAAAACCCTGTCTCAAAAAAAAAACCAAACAGTTGAACAGAGATTCATGTGTCTATACATCAGTAATATACTGTTTAATTACTGTAGCCTTATGTTAAATGTTCAAATCAGGTAGTATGAATCTTCCAACTTTGTTCTTCCTTTCCTAATGTTTTGCCTATTCTAGGTCCTTGGTATTTCTATATAAATCTTAGAATCAGCTTGTGAATTTGTACACAGAAGCCACGGAGATTTTTATATGGGATTACACTGAATCTGTGGATTATTGCTATACTGACAATATTGAGTCTTCCAGTTAATGAATAGCATGTATCTCTATTTAGATCTTCTTAAATTTTATCTCAATATTTTGTAGTTTTGAACGCACAAGTCTTTCACATTTTGTTTAATTCATCCCGGCATTTTATGTTCTTTTTTTGTTTGTTTGTTTTTGAGATGGAGTTTTGCTCTTGTTGCCCATGCTGGAGTGCAATGGCACGATCTTGGCTCAGTGCAACCTCCACCCCCCAGGTTCAAACGATTCTCCTGCCTCAGCCTCCCAAAGAGCTGGGATTACAGGCATGCACCACCACACTCGGCTAATTTTGTATCTTTTAGTAGAGACAGGGTTTCTTCATGTTGGTTGGCTGGTCTTAAACTCCTGACCTCAGGTGATCTGCCCGCCTCGGCCTCCCAAAGTGCTGGGATTACAGGTATGAGCCACTGCGCCTAGCCAATTTGCAGATATTGAACCAGCCTCTCATTACTTGTGTAAACCCCACTTGATAATGACCTATCATTCCTTTGATATGCTCTTAGTTTGCTCATATTTTGTTATTTTGCATCTATGTTTATTTGTCATAATTGTAGTTTTCTTCACTTATACTGTTTGTGTCTGGTTTTGACATCAGGGTTATGATGGCCTCATAAAATGAGTTGGAAAGTGTTTTCTCCTCTTCTGTTTTCTGAAATTTATATAGAAATTATTTCTTAAATGTTTTGTAGACTTCATCAGCGAAGGCATCTGGGCCTAGAGTTTTCTTTGAGGGTAAGTTTTGAACTACAAATTAATTTTTTTTTGAGATGGAGTTTTGCTCTTGTTGCCCAGGTTGGAGTGCAATGGTGTGATCTTGGCTCACTGCATCCTCTGCCTCCTGGGTTCAAGCAATTCTGCCTCAGCCTCCTGAGTAGCAGGGATTACAGTCACCTGCCACCATGCCTGGCTAATTTTTTGTGTTTTTAGTAGAGACGGGATTTCACCATGTTGGTCAGGGTGGTCTTGAACTCCTGAACTTTTGGCCTCCCAAAGTGCTGGGATTACAGGCATGAGCCACTGTGCCTGGCTACAAATTCATTTTTTTAAATAATTACAGGTATATTCAGATAACTCTTTTCTTCTTGAGTAAGCTTTGGTGGTTTGTGGCCTTGAAGGAATTTGTCTTATCAGAACTACCAAGTTTTTGATACAAAGTTTTTTTTTGGCCAGGTGTGGTGGCTCACACCTGTAATCCTAGCACTTTTGGAGACCAGGGTAGGCGGATCACAAGATCAGGATTTCAGGACCAGCCTGGCCAACATAGTAAAACCCCGCCTCTACTAAAAATATAAAAATCAACCAGGCATGGTGGTGCGTGCCTGTAGTCCTAGCTACTCAGGAGGCTGAGGCAGGAGAATCGCTTGAACCCGGGAGGCGGAGGTTGCAGTGAGCCGAGATCATACGACTGCACTCCAGCTTGGGCAACAGAATGAGACTTTGTCTTAAAA